TCACCATATGCCGTTTCCATGGAAACGCATCCCTCGCCATAAAACATGATGTCGCTATAACTCCTATGAAAATGTTCAAAAAGTGCTCAAACTTCACATGTGTGCTAACAGTCCAGCCGTGAAGACATCTACGGGACAGTTTTTAGATTTCTTCAAATGCCGTTGCCATGGCAACACAATGCTCGCCTTGAAACACGGTTTTCTCATAACTTCAGTGAAACTGCTCCAAACGCCCCAAAACTTCACAGGTTTGGTAACGATGCAGCCATCAACGCATCTAAGCGTATTATGGGGTGTCATCAAATGCCGTTACCATGGCGACAGATCATTCGCCATCAAGTTAGTTCAGAAGTTTGCGGTTCAAATATTTTGCTGCCAAGCCTTTTCACTTTCTTTTCTTCTCTCATCACACATTCAAGCCCCCAGTGTTAATGTATCATTTCAATCTAAATTATTCACTTTTTTTCTTACACATTACATTTCAGCATAGCAGTTTAGCGTCAGATTTTCAGCATAAAGCATTCCCACTAGCAATTTCTTCAGGAATTGCATTCTCTAGTTGTTATTGTACTGCTCTTTTATTGCTCTTATATTACACAAATACATAAACGGGTAAGTAACTAGGCAAGTTTCATATTAGTAAAAATGTTGTTACCATATTCATCTGTCTTGACAACAAGTTTTTACTGAGGTTGGTCAAATCATAGCCTGATATCAAAGCCTTAAAACATTGCAAACATAAAAGTAATTGCTGTAAACAATATTTAATATAAATGTATGAAGTGATACACGGAGACGAGATCCACAATCCTCTAATTCTTCAACACAAATTGAATTAAATGTACATTTTGTGCCTATTTTACATATTTATACCAACAATTTCAGAAAACTCTTAATGTAAGTATTCCACTGTGAAAATGCCATGTAAATATTCATCAGATATGTGTTACCCTATTTTCCTGTGGCCCTGAGCAGAAAAACAACAAACAGACGGAGAAATGTGTGCTCCTTATTTACATTTATCAGTAGCCTGAGCTTCTGTGGTTTTAACAAAATAACTAAAGTATTTATGGTTCCCCACAAGTTCCCACTTCCGCTTTTTCGTATAGCTTGTGTTCTGTTCTCTGTTAACCGTAATTGCATGGCTGACACATTTCATCACACACCACAACTGTATGGTATTACCCAATTGCATGAGATAACCAAATATCATAAGCATCCAAATAAAAAAGCGACCTGAAGGCATGAAGAGGTGCAATGTCAGCTGTGAACCCAGCTCTCCAGGTCCTGATACACTCTGCTGGCTGCCAGCCCGGGGAAGTGCACACAGATCTGACACAGCCTCTCTCTCCAGTCAGTGAAGGTCTTTATCCTGTGAGTGTGGTGCCACTGGAAGAACTCCTCGTAGGCTTGCCTGTCTGCAGCCACTTGCTTCAGATAGGCAGCCAGATCGGCTGTATTCTTGAAATCAGCCACATGGATAAAGGAACCAGGAGGGGCCATGGCCTCATAGGTGGCCCTGCTGGGGCCGAGAACGACAGGCACCACCCCTGCTTGGAGAGCGTTCCTCCAGAGCTTCTCACTGATGTAGTCCTTTGCCTCAGAGTTCTCAAAAGACAGGTAAAATGCACACTTTGCAATTGTGGGCAACAGCTTCTTGTTCGAGAGGGGTTTCTTGTTCCACTTGCCGTACACCTGTATGGGGATGTACTTCTTTAGACTTCGGTAAACAGCAGCCCGATCCTGCTGAGGACGGAATCTGCTGACCACCCAGCTGACGAGGCAGGAGCGATTAGGAGCAGCCTGGAAGCTCTGTGCATCCCCCCCAAGCACGGTCTTTCCGTAGGGGATGTATATGTCAGCATCACGTCTGTAGCTCATCGTCCAGTTGAAGATGCCGGAGAGAGGAGTGAGGTTTGGATTGTTGACAGGGGGCTCCATGGACAGCCATACCCAGTGCTGGGAGGCTGGGCGGTCCAGGTGCAGGGGCAGCGCCGACAATCCTTCTTTCAGCTCCTGGTGATGGAAGACAACCACATCAGCAGTGGAGAAGGTGGAGGTGTTATCAGTGAGGAAACAGCGACGGATGTTGTACATCTCGAGGCATTTGTCTCCATCAAGCCTGTAGGAGCGGCCAAAAGGCCAGCGCCACAGCAGGATGCTGATGTTTCTCTGAGGGACAGCTGGCTGAGGGTCCTGCAGGTAGAGGGTCGGGTCCAAGAAGATGTAACAAAGCAGGGCTGAGAGGGAGCTGAGGACCAGGAGGGCTCGGCATCCAGATCTCTTCATGGCAGCCAGCCGGGTGTGTTTCAGGTCAAAAGGGCACTGCTTACTGGTATGCAACTCTTAGAAAGGAAGGAAGGGTAGATCTGAGGTATATAAGGCTTTTATATTTTCACATCAGCGCATGATCTGCAGAGGGCAGGATGTATAACACAAAATATTTCCTACTGTGGGAGAAATTGAATATGTTTGTGTCAGAGGGCTCAGAGGTTCATTTCAAGTGAGTTTGCATCAGAAACATAACAAATCCCTATACAGGCTTGGGGAGTAATGGATCACATGTAACGGGATTACGTAATAAAGATACAAAAAATAAGTAACTGTATTCCCCTTACAGTTACATTAAGAAAAGACGCAATCAGATTTCAGTTACATTTTTAATTACTATTACTTTTTTCTATGGACTGGGTGGACAACTGATTTATTAAAACAAACATACTGTTTGCTTTAAATTCATATATTAAACTAAAACACTTTTTGTAAGTCTAGCCTGGATTTAAGAGGACACATTTTTTATCCTAAATATCTTGGTTTATTCTTTTCTAAGGTCACATTGTTCTGTTCGCGTACATAATACACTAAAGCCAAAACATCTTATAGATATGTCTCTCTATTTGATTTATTTGCATTGCGTTTGATGTTGACGTAATCCAAAAACTGACAGAAAGTAATTAGCATTAACATGTTAAAGGTGACTAATAATCATAAAGGGTTACAATTGTTTAAGTTACCCTTCCATCCCTGCACTTATCATCAAGTTTGTCTCTAATATGATCGAACAACTCTTGCGTAACGTTTGAAGAAATCTTCAATTGTGTCTGTCTTCCTCTCAGTTTCTTCAGTAAGTTCTGCTTCTGTCCGCTTTTTAGGATTTCATCATAAATATTGCGGGCGTAAAAAAAAAAGTTACTTAACGGATAGTTAATAATAAAAACAAGTAAAAGTCATTTCTGAATCAAACAAAGCCCAAACATGTATCTGTGTATTGTTTATAAATGAGTCACTTTCTGATAAGAATGTTCAAATAGATATTCGAACTATGAACACTAGACATAGTGTGGGTTGAGGATAAAGTATCTTGTAAAATAACACTGACAGAAAAAGGATTTCTGATTAAAAGAAAAAAATACTATTTCAAAAATATTTCCTGTAAGATCTTATTTTTGAACAGTTTCCTTTACCCTGAGGACAAAGCCGGTATTCAGTATTTAATTAAATGTCGATATCAGCGGGTGGATTATAAGGACAATAAAATCGAGGGTGGCTGAGTTCTTGGCACTTACCTGCTGCCGTGCAGCTCGGTCCGACTCAACACATTCTTAATATAAAGGAAATCCCGCCTCCCTCAAATTTCTGACACATGTCTTGCATGATACACACACACAGCTCCGAAAGGCAGGGGTGACGGGTGTGAGCAGCAACCAACCAAAACAAATCATCAAATTATGACATAATTTCAAATCGATGAGTTTTAATGACTTTATTTTCTTACAAAAGGAATTATTATATACATTTTCACTTCAGACTCTTGGTGGGTACATTGCATTTGGGTGTGTTTAATCGGATCTGGTTAGGCGGGAAACAGGGTGGTAAAGAAGGGTGCCACACAACCACCCTGTTTCACACAAGTGTTAAACTGCTCATGCATCTGCTGTTTGCAGAATGAGCTCTGCCAGCAGCGAGTCACACTCACATGTGTGGTTTTCATTTTGAAACCACAAGCTGGTGTTCCTCTTCCTGTTCTTGTAACTCTGCAGAGGAAAGGGGCCCATGGTGACAGAGATCCTGTGGGCACTAACCACATCATAACCGTTTCAAACTTTATTGGCAAATGCACAGTAGCTACAGTGTAGAAATGTCAAAGGAAATTAAGTCCCAGGCTCCTCCAACAATGCAACATAATATATATAAAATATATGACAATAAAACTAATTGAAATAGTGCAAGAAGAAACATAGTAAAATACAATAGTGCCAGATTATGTTGCAAGATCAATGCATGTAATGCAGATGACTATACAATAAGCGAAATAGTGCAGAGAATGTTGGAAGTGACCAAGAAAATGCAGAGTCTAAATATTGTACTTATATGTAAATAGAATAAGAGGAACAAGAACTGAATTTAAAATGTAATGCTGTACAATAAAAGAAAATACTGTTAATCACAGTGATAACGATTAAGATAAATACGTTTAAAATGCAAACAGATGAATGCTTTAGGACAGGGGTGGCCAACCAGTCAGAGGTTGAGAGCCAAACATGTCCCCCCACCTCTCTCTCTTTTGCTCTCAGCCTTGCTGCCAGCTCCCTCACTCTCTTCCTCTATCTCTCACACATACAAAATGAAAATGTAAACACACACACACACACACACACACACACACACACACACACACACACACACACACACACACACCCTCCCATATACACACACCCTCACACAGCCACACAAACACTCAAAGACACACCCTCACTGACATATGTATTAAGTGTGTGTGTGTGTGTGTGTGTGTGTGTGTGTGTGTGTGAGAACCGCTCTTAAAAAAATAATAATCTAGATGCTTCAGTAAT